ATGTACATGCAGTGTCAAAGATCGAAGTCAACGGTAAAAATAAACACCACAATATATTTCTCAAATGTATTTATTTAAGCGCGGAATACAGTGGATTTCTGGAACGTAATTGTTGAACTGCAGAACTTGATTTGATGACACATTGTATATATATATATGAGCATTATGATGATTGTACAAATGGCGGTATTCCAAAGCCAATGACAAAGTATCAGCAAGCGGAAGCGACGTTGCAAAAATTGCCCTGGCTGTAGGTTAAGGTTATAATAAACGTGTTTGGGCCATTGTGTTCATATTATACTAGCCTAAATATTAACATCTCTGTGCGACAGAACATTGTGAGCTTCAACTATTTTACGCAAAAATAAAAATAAATTTGCAATGAATTTTTTGCATAAGAATGGTTTAACCAAAGCCAACTTGAAAACGTTGAATACATTATGGCATAACGATGTTTAAAAGTTCAGTACGTGTAGATGCTAACACGTGAACAATAACATACAATGGACCATTCAAAAGGTTGAGCAAATACAGAAATATATAAAGAGTGTTAATCAATGTATATTGAACAAACAGAAAGCATAGGGGGAAAATCATATCACACTGTACTTTAGATTAATCTACCAGAGACGTGTCATTTTTACTTCCGCTGAAAGAGAATCAAACAGAAAAACAAGTAGACGGCAGGCTTTCGTTTATTGATTTGTTAAAAATGACTCATTACCATGATCTGTTAACGAGCCGAGTACGGAATAGGTCTTATTGATTTTTCAAGTTAGTTTGAATTCACATCTTCCGGTTTATGGAAATGACGACAAAAGCACGTATTTAGAACATTCAAAAGGTTCTCTGTTTCATCTATAATACGTTTGCTATATTTGTCGAATGAAATTAAATGATCATGTTACATACGCTTCTCGAGCACAGAACAATGTGTTCAACTTTTCCTTATCGCTTTATTTCAAATATGTTTCGAAATTTGTTAACCACTGTTTGTTAAAATTTCGCAATTAGTGTACTACAACAAACAATTATGTGCTCGTGATATTACGCTGAGGGAGTATATGTTTATTCCATACTTTACATATGTCCTATGTAGATATTACCAGATGGTGACCTATCTATTCATATATTCCTTCCGTAGAAGTACACACATTACTCTGAATGGGCTTTTTTTCATGTCAAAACTAGTATGAAGAAGTGTAGCTGTCTTGTATAGAAAAGTCTCTATGATACTTTGAGGTTTTATCATAGTCACATTTCTACCAAGATTACAAGGATCGACAGGTTATACTTGTAAATATTTCAGGAAGTGAAATAAAATTCAAAGACCTTGTGTGTTCAAGGGTTTGAATAGTAACTGCTTGTGATTTCAAAGGGAAGATTTAAAAAAAAAACTCAAGCGAAATTTTGATGTGGAACAGTCGGAGTCCATAGGGAGTTGCTGCTCAAATAAAAGTATTAAAACTTAATGAGCTGATCGCGTATGACAGCCTATCATAGCAAATACACAACATTTACAGCAACCTATCAGCTGACTTGATTTTAAACCAGTAGGTGTTTTTGGTTGAAAACACATTGCTGTTCGACCCTGAACAATGGTGACATAATAGTATGTACTGCATCACACACTATTCCATTTATGCAGAAAGCATCCTCGAGAAACAGCATCAACAATTTTGTAAACGTGCAACCTGTAATGCTTGTCAACTGTCACGCTGTGGTGGGGTAAACGAAGACTAAAATTAAATCGTCCACATATCTGATGATATTCGGAGTTTAATGATGTTTTGATAGAGGATTGCATCCGACAAAAATGTGAACTGGTGATTAGGTCACTCAAATGTTATTTTATAGAGCAATTCAACTGAAATATCACAAGTATAGGGTTCACTGATGACGCCCAACTCAGTATCAACAGTATGTCATTGGACTAGATACGGTTTTGTGTCTAGCTAATGACATTAAAGCACAAACTTAAAGCTTGTTTTCAAATCTTTGTTATACAAGACTTCTAAAATGTTTAATTTGAAAGTTACGGTAGCGTATTGAGTCATTTCGTTGTAATGCATATTCCCCCCGAGCAGACGAAATCATTTAGCATTAATTCTCGTTGTTTCGTCTCAACAAACTTTAATCCTCGTTTTTATCAGATGGCATTTTTAAATGGTCATTGATTGATCACAATATATGATCCTAATAACTTTTGCAGATAAAAAAAAAACTAAGCGCGTTTTGTTTACTGTGGACATGCTTATTTTGACACAGTCAAATTTTAGCGCATTATCGTATTGATGAATTTGCGCACCATCGATATGGTATGATGCACTAGAAACTATATATAGACACTGTATTTAGCGCTATCATTGTTTAGCGCAATATCGCAAACGTTATATTAAGAATACCACTGAAATATGTGCATCTGTAGTGTAAACAGTAGATTTATTTCATTAACATGAGATTATTTGAAAACCTTAACAGAACAAAAAACTCTTCATGTGAGTTCACACAAAAGAAAAAAGAAACAGAGGGGTTACCAATGCATAAGGAAATAGCGATTACCCACATCGTATCATCGAAGGCAAAACCAGGCACTTTGGAAGACAAATGGGTTTAAATTATGTTATAAAATGTGCAGATAGGCAATGTAAATATTTGTCAACTGCTTAGGTAATACTGCCTATTAGTCATCTGTCTGTCTGACCAATGTCAGATATTGACAAGCATATGTCAGTGGCTGTTATATCTCAGCGACGTTTCGTTGTCCATGCTGAAGCAATCGATTTCACGCACGCGACACATATATCAGGCCGTTTATCAGTGGAGCTAATGGATAAATACGTCACTGGACTACCAACAAGTGAAGATTGCTTCAGACACCGGTAGCAGTTGTGAACAGTGAAAAATAACACCATCTGAGTAACATGTATCAAAGCTTTACACACAATCAATGTTTCCAAACCAATTGATCCCTTTATCAAATTATGACTGAAAGGAACCAGTCGGTCTTGAAACGTTGTGACACAATTTGGTTCGTGCATATACATTGTTTGTTGTGTTACGTAAACCTTTGATACACAATCATTCATAACTGGTGAACCCGTTAAAGTTCTTCCAGTCATAATCTCATCTTACAGAATGTACCGTAGAGTTTAGACCTTAAGTGTTATCAACATTCTGGACTTCAATAAGATGGTATTTTCAAATATTTCAATAATTCAATAAGGTTATGTAATGTTAAGTCTTCACTGCCAAAAAAGAGTTATTTTAGCAATTGTACAATATCATTGAAAACATTAAGGGTTATTAATCAAATTCTGCCACCATGGCAATTATTGTCATACCCTCTATATAGTTGTATGCATGTTATTTCAAACGTACCTTGCCGTCAAACTGTGTAATGTGATCAAGCGATGGCTTGAATCTAAACTAGTTTCTTTAACAAACTTTGCTTAATTTCCTTATAAAACATCAAAATGCAATAAGAAAATTTTACTATCAATGTAAACCGAAGCGAATCCTAATGTGTGTCCTGATTTTTGTAACCGAAGAACGCGGGATCGATTTCTGTTTGTGATTTGGTTCCCCTGACTTACGTGTCATCAAATTGACCCAGACATTTGGCTCCAATTTCTTATTAGCAGACACATTTCGCAGAAGGGCGTTACTTAGTATTAGACCTCGAATAGCTCTCCTCTAATTTTAAATTTGCTGGGTTATCTCAGCGATTATACTGGTGAAAATTAAGTTTTACTGGCGGCTCAGAGTCCTTGAAGTCGAGCTATGTTTAACTGCTGGATTGTTCTGGTCTGGTACACATATGAGGGAGCTTTAAATAGTCAACCTTCTCAATCTGAAAAGGTCACTACAGCTGTATTGTGTAATGTAGTTCATTTTTGTCACTGTTATTACAACCAATCTTAAAAGTGCAATCTTTCGTTCATCTTTCTAAATAATAATGATATACAACATTTAATAATGCGCCCTATCTAGCTAGAATAATCCGCTCTAAAGCGCTTTACAGTACATAGATATACAGATTAATTAGCATATACATTAATCAATACAATTTTTGAGGAATTCGAAGGAGCTTCCTTATCAGGCGCTTACTACTAGTCCTATGCCCTCCCTATATGAGCATGCCTGCGTGTTTGCTGGAGATGTATTATGATGGATAATTCTTCGAGACAAAGGAGCGATATTCTTTTCAAATTTATAATGAAATATCAGTTTCAAAGCGAACATAGATAGAAATGCCAGCTTTACTTCGTGTTTCTAGGTTACTATTTTAGGTATAAAGATAGTTGATTCTGGTTGTGAACTACATACAACTGTCCTCGAGATCAGCTGTAACCTTTTACAAAGCAGGCGGAAATCATTCTTGCATGATTTACATAAATTCAGACGTATTTCGAGGGGGAAAATGAGATTTAAGCAGTAATTTAGACCAAATTTTTAATTTCCAACGTTTTGGTCGCGATGGACGAAACAGCTGTGTGGTGCTGTTAATTTATTTCGTCAAATCTTAATGTGCAATCACTGGCAGGTGGCAAACTTTGCTGGTGACAACAACTATCTCATTTGAGTAATGAGTGCTAATAAATCCAAACAGTGAAAATAAGAACACAATATAATATACATACCAATACATGTAACATGTCACGGGCAAAATTAACACTGTGCGAAATCGAAATTTCTGCCAGTGAAGGGCGAAATTTGGCTGGGCGAAAGTTTACCGACATACAGTATACGCACTTAACTAAAAATTAACCAGTAATACTTTAATTTTGAAATTCATATAATGAGGGGGATTTAAGCAACTCCCCATTTTAGACCAATTTTGATTTTTGGCCCAAAGCACCACTAACGAGTCAGAACGAAACAGACGTACGGTACAGTGTAATTCTTTTTGTCATACTTTTAACAAGTTTTACCAAATGTATACGTGTAATCACATATGCGAGTCTTACGTTCTGTAAATAAAATATGCATCTATTTACCCGTGTGGCGATGATATCCATTTGTCCCCGAGTGATCTGATCTAAATCCGTTACACTCCGATAAATATTCCTGTTTCGCCTTCTGAATAACGTCCTGCACAAATTCATCTATTAACTCAGAATTATCGCTATCCACACTAGAACTTTTATTCCAGGACATCTTCAATTTGATTTTTCGTCCAGGACCTTTTCTAAATGCAGATTTGGACGGTTCTATCCCAACGGCGTCCTCCATTGTCGTATCCTAAAATAGAAAGAACAATTAAAAAAAACATCTCACAGAGACTATGCTATGGTTAAATCACGTGATTAAATTTCGAATACAAACCAAACTTGCTCGAAGACTTGGTTGATTAATAATTTAAGTGATGATATAATGCTGATCCCTAAATACCCTTTCAGTAGCAGTGTTTGACCAGAAGATCGGGATCGAGGCTGACCTCTGGAGAGTAGGCACGTGCACTTTAAAGGGTCTACATGTGCCAGGTAGAAAATAACAAGCTGATATAGCTAGTTTACAGTTTATCTTCGTAAAACAAATTAGATTTACATATTTATTCACAGAAAATTGATGACATTTAGTACACAAAGATCAAAAACTCTTATAGCTAATGTCATATATTACCCGCTAAGGATATTTGACGAAAAGAAAATTCTCAAGACGTTATTTTGGTCACGCGTTTCCTAAGCACAACGCACCATTTCAACAAGTACGCTCCAAATTTGATATAGATGTAGTTACAACTGGTTGTTTCTGCTCTAATAAAGCAACACATGTACACTGTCCTTTTTTACGAAGGGAGAGGTGGCAGAATGTATGGTTTGGGACATATATGCACTATTACGCAATAATCAAACGAAATAACGACTTAAGTGTTATCCCAATTTCAATGTATGTTTTGAAGAGGCATCGACGAGGAATCTATTGACGCAATAAATGTAGATAATATTTCATTTTATATAACAAATTACCTGTCAATTGCAGTTATATAGCTTCCCTAGCAATTGACGATATTGGAATAGGTACAGACTGCAATAGGTATGCATGTCGATCATTCTTATTGTATAACGTGAACGAAGAGTGTAGGGTTTATCCATAGCTATACGTATCATCCTTGTAAAATACCAGCCGCCGCTTCCTACCAGCTCGTCTCGGGAGAAGTTCTCTTTAGCTCATTAGGTAAAGCATAAGACTGATAAACCAGTGGTCCTTGGATTTTCGAAATCATGGGATGCATACATGCAAAATCCGCGACTCATGTTTTGAACATTCTTGTGATTTTTCTTCGACAACTTGTGATATATATTCGAAAACTTGTGATTTTTTTTTAATGTGCAAGATGTCTATTCGAAACAGAATTATTTATATACTAAATAAATCTTGGAATTTCTTTAAAAATCAAAATCATGTTATTCAAAATCGAAATCGTGTGATTTGCGTTCAATATACATTTTGCACCACAAGTAATCTGACATAATCTACATTCTTTATAACGATATTTCCGTTGGCTGCAGACTTCTTGCTTTATCAATACCACGATAGGGATCTTGAGACGGAGAAACTCAATTTGGACTGAAAAGGGAATGACGAATAGAGATACTCAATTATGACGGCAAGAGGCGTTCGCTGCTACTTTACCTCAACAATTTCTGCAGTCATTGGGAGAGAAACAATAATAATATCAATCCAATTAATCATGGTCTATTTATTATCAATAAGATCTAGCTTTCGAGTCATTTTGTATAGGCTTTTCGTTCCCGTCTGTATGTTTGGGTCCTTGTATGTTGCCTTACCTTTCTTTCCTGTCTCTATTTTTGGTTTGCATGTAGATATTGTTCCTGACTGTAAGTTTAGTTCCTTGTGTGTTGACATTTCACACCTATTAGTATAAGTTCGGGTGCGTTGACCTTTCCTTTATGCATGTAATTGCGGGTCCTTGTGCGTTGACATTTCTTATTTGCCTGTAAGTACAAGTCCTTGTGCGGTGGTCTTTTAGTTTTGCTTGTAAGTACAAGTCCTTGTGCGATGGTCTTTCATTTTTGCCTGTACGTTCGGGTCTTTGTGGTGTGGTTATGATAATTTATTTTAATGCAATGTCAGCTATAACAACAGTCCTTTTTCTTTATCCGCCATGTGATCAATTAGATTGAACTTCATGAACGTTTTAGTGACTGTATCAACTGAACCAACTACGTGTTCTGTCATACGGGAACTAATCGATTGGAACTACGTAAAAAGGCGGGGTCACAACATTTGGCCCCCACTTAGATTTCTTTTATTCTTTCTCCATATGTGATACATAAAAAATATCAATAACCGCATAAATGATTATTCATAATTACTACTAATAACCGCAGTTGACCTCCTTGCATAACACCATGTTGAGTGACGGGGGTATCCTAACAAATTGACAGATAAATGTTACAGGCGAATGTTATTTTGAAAATGAATTATGAATATACAGTGTATAAAATCACTATTATTTTGATACTAAATATGTCATATTGGTATACATGAAGTAAGCGTAGTGATACTATTAATTAGAAAAACATGAACGAAGGTCAAGGTCATCAACGTTTACAAAACTTTGAACAACCTACTTCCTAAATATCAAGTCCAAAGGACCTTTGGTCATGCAGACACACAAGTTAAAGGAAAAGTGGAAAGAAAGCTATGTTTTTCCTTCTTTGAATCAAAAGTGTTATATTGACAAATTTCCCGGTTGTCAATTTTTATGAAATTCCTGATGTTGAAAGATAATATTAGTAGGCAACTTTTAAGCAAGTATGAAAAATAGACTCGTTTTAGAACTATGTAAATTAACGTGTAAAACAAATGAAATGTTCTCATTAGTAAAGAAATTTCAAATACTTTTCTTCTTAAATCTTCAATAAAAAGGACAATCGTTTCTTGACATACTGAAATATTCGGTTTCAAAATAACAGTTGGACTATGTTGCACATGATGGTGATATAATTCTATAGTAAATGTGTCATTTAAATGCTCTCGGAGGACGTGTATAACCGTACCTTTAACACCCACACAGGTGTAGGTCAATGAGGTCCCATTTATCATAAAATGAATTCTGAAACTAACTGTTCCTGATTTAAGCTCCCTACCTATACCAATACCTTTTTGGATTTATCTGTTTTTGTTAAATTCGAAGCGGAGACCGACGCTTATGTTAAATCTTCATAGGCGTTGACCCTACCTTGAGTAATTTGCAACTTCACAACCATACATGTCTGAATAACAACATTGTTTTTTTCTGGTAATTTGCGTCCTCGTGATAGCATTAAAGGGGCATCACGGTGAAGTAGCTTTATCTTTTGTCTTTTTGTCAAATAATACATAAACATACCAAGTGAGACTCCTTATGGAAAATAACGATCGGATTTGGCTGAAATAGATTCATAAAAATGAATAAATCTAAGAAAATCATCGGTATTTCTACCTGTCTGACCAACGTTTTGTTCAGGGATTTCCCTATACTAGCGCATGCGCATAGCACACCAGTTCTTTGTAAACAGAATGACTGGCCGTGTGAAGTAAGCGAAAGAAAGTGTCGTACCGTGTCAGCTACGAAACGAAAAGTTGCCAAATGGTCAAAGATAGCGCAAGGAGTACGTTACGGAATCATTATTGAAGGTGTGCAGTATTCAAAGGAGAAAATAACTGCCGTAGCAGTTAGTATGGTGCATGTATTCTTCCGGATAGCCGGTTAAGCTGAAATGGAATCGACAGAAATGCTAGCGCTGTTTATGTTATGAATAAATATCTAAAACTATTAAGCTCGCTAGTATCTTTGTCTGAGTTTGAACACAGATGAACTTAGTTTTATATGTTAATGGGCATGTATTGGAGAGAGTTTACTTTGTGTTTCTATAATTATACAGTGGTTTATGCGAAAGGAAGGGATAAGTGACTGGTTAGTTTGATTTTGCCATGAGGCCCTCCAAGGGATAACTGTTGTGATGGCCCACGGCGTATTTTCTGGGTCACCGAGATACGTGTTATCTAAGTCCGTGGATTTACATAATTTATAATATTACCGGGTTCAATAAAATGGTATGATTTAATTATATTGCTGAATTAAACGATTATTTTTGTTTTTACATGCAAGATTTAAATTAGTACTAATATGAATACCCGGCCTCCTCTGCCCCGGCAATATATAAAAAAAAATCAGAAAGGTTTGTCCCTTGGTGTAGGGAAGGTGTTTAGCCCCTTACCATCTGTACCGGACAAATTCCGGTACTAAATTCAATATATATTTAAATACATCTACTTTATGTTTATGCCTATTATCATTGTTGACATTTAATTGTAAATGTATGACGGGAGAAGGCTGTGATAAATTGTAAAAACTTGTGCACCATCCCTTGTTTTACTTTATAATTACAGATATAAAGAATAGATAAAGAATAGATAAAATGGACTATGTGATATATATAACGTCAAAGAGGGTAAGGTGAGTTAAAATACATCAGTCTATATAATAGAACGATGTCTTTCAATAATAAAATAATGCATTCGAGTCCACGGAACTGAAAAGAGTTTTCATATCCAGGACTCGAACGTAGTTATCACGAATGTGTTTCAAATCGGAACATTCTATTAAAAATGTTCTACTGTAAATGGAGTGTCACATGCGTGGCATGAAGGTGGATCTTACCGTTTTAAAAGGTACGAATGAGTAGGAAATGTGTGCCCAGTACAGAGCCGAGAGAGGACAACTTCTTCTCTACGATCTTTCCGACTGGGAACAGATGTTTTAAGTTTCAGTTGTATTTTAAAGAGTTTGTTGCTGGTCTTGAGAGACCATCGTTGCTGCCATTCATTTTGAATAGCTGTACGAATAAATGGTTTAAAATCTGTATATGGTAGTTTGATATTTGTTTTTTAGAAATTTAACGCTTAATTTGCCTTCCTGTCAACAAATTCGTTGCCTTTAATTCCGACATGGCTCGGAATCCATAGTAAAGTTATTTGAGATTTTTTTAAGACACGAGATTTGCGAAAAGCAAGGTTTTGTACGAGTGTGTTTTTAGGATCTCGTGACTGTAAACTTTGTTTGTTTGTTTGTTTGTTTGATTTTGTTTAACGTCCTATTAACAGCTAAGGTCATTTAAGGACGGCCTCCTCTGTGTGCAAGATGCATGTGTGTAGTGTATGTGTGTGTATTTTGGGAGGCTGCGATATGTTCGTGTTTGTCTCCTTGTGATAGCGCGGAACTGATGCCGACTTTATAGTGCTACCTCACTGAAACATACTGCCGAAGACACCCAGCAGGACGCCCCACCCGGTCACATTATACTGACAATTGGCAAACCAGTCGTCTCACTC